AAGAAACATATTATTTATTTGCAAGTTTAACCCTGAAGAATATTTTATACACGTGACAAACGTGTACCAACGTTGCAATAATACGACAAGCGCCTTGTTGATGAAATGCTACGATTAAAATTACAAAAGTCTTAATTGTTGTGATGGCTAATAGAAGAATGTAGCGCTTGAAGTTGGTACTCCGTGACACAAGGGGGACTCACGTGGCCAAGTCTCGTGACGTGCACACCGTCGATTTCAAGGTCAACAGAACTAAACGAATGCAATAAACGTAATAGTAATTAATGTTACAGATCAGTGGAAATTTTACCCTAAATTTATTGAACACCGAATAGTTTTGCAAATCATTATAATTTAAACATTCATTTTACTGTTCTTTTGTATACGATTTTAAATCTGTTTTGTTTTCTTTTCTTGATTAGAAAGCATATTTTTTATAGGTCATTGTCTTAGTATAGGATTAGACATGGCCTATGACCATATTTTTTTAAAGAATCACAAATCTGCTCAAGAAATTAAAAGCTATTTTCATTTGTATACACGGCGGCTTAAAATCTGTTTCCTGAATGTCGATTCCATCATAGCCACTTGTAAACATGATGTCCAAATAAAAAAGTTAATCTTAAAATTTTTGTTATTTTCAGAATAACAAAACGAAACTTTCACTTTCAATGGCGCCAAAAAAGGATTATCTTCTGTATTATTTGGTTACGCTCATAATATAATATCTGAAAAAGTATACACAGAGACCCGAATACCAAAATATATCTTTAACAAAGATATTGATTCCGATCTGAAAACGAAATCAGAACTCTTAATGCGTATCGTATAAATCACAAAAGTGAAGTTTTTATTAAAAAACGGACTTTCATTAGGTATATTGTAAAAATTGTATTCCCTGAATTATTTTGTTGACAAAATCGATTCCCCTAAAGTCTTCGTAATTCCATCTTTACGTCATTTAGGTATAAGAACTCGCCATGTCGCCAACATCATTGGCGGTATCTAGTAACGCTGTAGCCGCCACTTGAATCAATGAAGTGCCATTGGCTCATTGTTTAATCGTCTGTTTTATCAGCTGTAATGAGCGTCCAACAAGTTCGTGCCGTCAACTTGTTAACACGCTCGAACGAATTATGCTCAGACTTTCAACATCACCATTCGTACGAATGCTTCTAGACTATACCGAGATAATGTTTACGTTCTATAGTTGACGTGTGTTGATTTTCCAATGCAGACTTTTGTTTTATATCCTTCAGCGTACTCATTCGACTCAACTAGTTTAAAAATTGTTTTAAAGTTTCAATGTCAATTAAATGATACCAAAAAATAGTTTTTTAGTTTAATTTTTCTTTTGAAGTCGACGTGGCCTAAAGGATAAGACGTCCGGTGCATTCGTGTTGAGCGATGCACCGGTGTTCGAATCCCGCAGGCGGTTACCAATTTTTCTAATGAAATACGTACTCAACAAATGCTCACGATTGACTTCCACGGTGAAGGAATAACATCGTGTAATATAAATCAAACCCGCAAAATTATAATTTGCGTAATTACTGGTGGTAGGACCTTATGAGTCCTCACGGGTAGGTGCCACCGCCCAGGCTATTTCTGCCGTGAAGCAGTAATGCGTTTCGGTTTGAAGGGCGGGACAGCCGTTGTAACTATACTTTTAGAACTGATAACTCAAGGTGGGTGGCGCATTTACGTAGTAGATGTCTATGGGCTCCAGTAACCACTTAAGACCAGGTGGGCTGTGAGCTCGTCCACCCATCTAAGCGATTAAAAAAAAAAACTTTCGAAAAGGCCACAGGGTCGGTCGGTTACTGCAGGCCGAATTCAGATTCTGCTAACCGGTTATCCGTTACGAAAAATTTTAATGGTAACTCATAAATCACGTTCAATAAACGAATTTCATTGCAAATGCGTATCCTGTGTTTGTTCATTCTCTCGTCGTATAATGTTTTGAGACCGATTTCGATGCAAGCGAATGTGAGAACAATAACATTTGATCGCCTCGAGGCATTCAGTATAAACCTCGACGGCTATTGATACTGAACCATTGTATTCCTGACCCTGAGACCTGGTCGGAGCATGTGAATAGAAAACTGCACGTTGTATAATTTGGGTAGTTGTTTTATTCGCATTCTTCTCGGTCGTATGCACTTTTGGCACAGTGGTCGTGATCATCACTTCGGGTGGTGGTGCGCTTTTTTTTCTCTTCTTTGATGGGTGGACGAGCTCATACCCCACCTGGTGTTAAGTGCTTACTGAAGCCCATAGATATCTACAACGTCAATGCGCCACACACCTTGAGATACAAGTTCTAAGGTCTCAGTATAGTTAGAATGGCTGCCCCATCCTTCAAACCGAAACGCATTACTGCTTCAATGCAGAAATAGGCTGGGTGGTGGTACGTACCCGTACGGACTCACAAGATCCTACCACCAGTAATTACGCAAATTATAATTTTGCGGATTTGTTTTTTATTACACGATGTTATTCCTTCACCGTGGAAGTCAATCGTGAACATTTGTTAAGTACGTATTTCTTTAGAAAAATTGGTACCCGCCTGCGGGACTCGAACCACGTTGCATCGCTCGATACGCATGCACCGGACGTCTTATCCTTTAGGCCACGACGACTACAGACGCTTCACCAGACGTCGCCATTCCTCGCGTACCGCGGCCCTTCTTGTCCACTCGTTAATGGGACCCTTTAGAGCTGCCCTTTAGAGAAGAAAGTTTATTCGCATATCGGACATTTAATGCTGGGTCTACATCCGCCCGATAAGTTCTGCTTACACAGTTAATATGATAAAGGTTTGGTCAGAACACTAACAGTCGTCTGTACGGGCCAAAATGCATATGAAACAGCTGCTCACGTGTTCTTCCGTTGCATAAAAATGGCTTTACACCCTGCCCAACGTCGCTTCCGAAGCACTCAATGAATGTGAAGGTATGTGTAGCGAAGGTGCAGGTTATATCCTTCGTGTACACACACAAAATAAGCACAATTTATCGAGGTTGATTTGCTAAATATTAACCGTTTATTTTATTGCATAATAGCTGACCCGGCAGACTTCATAGTGCCTCAATCGATAAATAAAAGACTTAAACTTTTGTATAAAATAAACTTAAAACAATCAAAAGAATGCGTCCGACGTGGCGACAGGGCACACAACAAAAGAAAAACAAAATTGTTTGTTTTTATATAATTCCGAGCATTTACATATTTATTCACCTTTTAAACCTTCTCTGGACTTCCACAAATAATTCAAGACCAAAATTAGCCAAATCGGCCTAACCGTTCTCGAGTTTTAGCGAAACTAACAAACAGCAATTCATTTTTATATATATAGAAGAAGAAGATAGAAGATAAGGTTGCGATTAACAACTTAAACGTAAGAAGGAACGCGACGTAGTATCTGCATTTGAAGTTTGAAACCAAACATATTAAGCCGTGCAAAACTCTACGAATGTATGTAATATCGAAAAATAATGATTGCACAAGCTTCACCTTTGGGCTTACGTCAGAAAAGTTGTTGCCTTCACAAACTGGTCTGGGCAGGCATGAAAGATACTGGAGGCAAGGATATCAGATTTGAATATATTTATGTAGTTGAGAAGCAAAACCTATGCATTTGGACTACAGACCGATTTAAAGCATTCTCATCGGGTGAATAGGTGACACCAAAAATCGCTTATAAACTATTCAGCTTAAACAAAGCTTTAACAAAATTTTAAAAAATCCTCATTAAACACATATTTTAGTAGTTTTCTAGGTAAAATGTGTTGTTTTCCTGGCTAGTGGCTTAATGGAAGTATCGAACGATGATGGAAAATTATCGCCTACATTGTTGTATGAAACAAACAGAAACAGAATTAATGTTGCTATCAATAAATAACACTTGAATGATATATCGCTAATTGCTTAGAACCATTTAAAAACAACATTATAAGTTTTATTATTAATTATAAACATCAACGAGAACGTATAATAGTAATGATATACATAATTCAAACTATGTTTCAATCTCATGTCAACAAACTTAATAACATTAATTGCATTCAAAAACAAAACGATTATGTTTGTGTACGATATTAAATCGATATAAAATTAATCCGAATTACGATCGTGTTACCGGAAGCTACACGGCTTTTATTAAAATTAATTAAACTATTAACGTGACTAGACACTAGTGTAGGAAACGACACTGTAAAGCCTTATCCGACGGAACCGGAAACTGTCTTGTCTTGTACTTAGTTTAGTATATTCATTTGCCTATATTCGATTTTTTAAATACAATAAAATTACTATGCAATCGTGTGTAATTGTGAACGGAGTGACAAACCTTATGACTTATGATTACACTAGACAAGAGCATTATTACTTTCCTAGTGTAAAACAGCAACTAAGTTTTTTAAAAAATTCTAGGTAAAAAACGTCTATAATCTACAGAGTTTATATTTCTTTATCTTAAGAATATTATAAAACGCAGGGCTTCTGTTGCTGAACATAGTCCGGGAATAGACTTCTAACTTCCATACAGAAGAGAGCTGATCGAATTGTTCAAAATCTCGTACTCACGGATCATTTGGAACCTCTGGGTATACCCACTGTATACGGTGGAACTCCAGTTCTATCTGTACTTTTTACCGATGCTCCGAGGGGGATTCCTCTACGGCAGCCTTTCCCAAAGTGGGCGATAACGCCCCCTTGTGGGCGCTGCAGGCCTAAGGGGGGGGGCGATAAGAGACCCAGAAAAAAATGGGGGCTGTTGTTTAGGCTTAGGATTTGTAACTTCATCTAGGTTTCTTAGACACGGACTGAGCTCTCGGTAGTTTTTAGGTAGGTGGAAAAATGGGGGCGCTAAAAAATAACTTATTATCAAAGTGGACAGTAGACAAAATAAGTTTGAGAACCCCTGCTGTTCGGGACGATCTTCATTAACAGCCGAACAGAACTTACCAATAAAGTGTCTTATAATAATTTGTTTGCAGGCGACGCCGATATGTCGCTGAAGCAGGGCAGCGGCACCGGCAAAGTACACTTCGGTGGCCTGGACGATGTGTCCTTGTACGGAACGCCAGTGGAACCAGCACCGCCGGCGCCGGACGCAAAGCAGGGCTTCCTGCGGAACCAGTTGCAAGCCCTCTTCCAGCCCACCGACAACAAACTCGCGATGAAACTATTCGGCTCAAAGAAGGCACTTATGAAGGAGCGCATCAGACAGAAGGCGGCGGGACATTGGGTCATCCATCCGTGCAGTAGTTTCAGGTATGTCCAGATTCAGCACTTTTCTATTTTGTTAATGAGATGAAATATCATCTAATCAAAACTGGGTAACTTAAAAGCCATATATAATAATTAATGAATTGAGTTTAAAATTTTACGTTGTGGAATAGAATATAATTCATTTCTTTTGATCCTTCCCTAACTAAAAGGCAAATCTCTGTATCGTGTACACCGAGTGAGTGTTTCATCAGTGTGAAGGTTGAAAGCCTGTGGAACCTACTTTTGTAAACAAATAAGTATCTAATACACACTACTTCCACAAAGAAGAAATATAATGCATAAAAATTACAAATGTTCATTAATATTTTGAGCATATTGTGAGTGTGAACATTTTTGTCGAGAAGCAGCTATTGAATAACTAATTCAAAAGTCCAGCAGTTGCAATTGACTCTTCGATCGTCACTAAATATGATGGTGATATTCTCGTTTTGTCTAATAACCTCTATGTAGCCTAGTCTGCTAATATTGCATAAGGGTAAAAAAACACCATCCGGCTTCTTCTTCTTCTTAGTCGAATACTTCATTGCTGAAGGTCGTGTCCTTGAAAGCCCTTCGTGGCTCTTTGTACCCTCAGCTTCCATTTGCTTCGGTTTTCGGCTTCTCTCAGGGCGTTCGCAACAGAGATTCCAGTGAGCGCAGATATCTGCTCCGACCAACGGTATGGTGGACGGCCAGCGGGTCTTTTCCCTTCTACTTTGCCCACCACAATCAATCTTTCATCCGGCTTACAAAAGAACAAAAGAGGCATAGGCCCACAATTAAAAAATATTTACAAACATCATGTAGGAATTAATGTGCGAAAATTACACACGCTGTATTCACACCTCAATCTCTAAATAAACAGAACTCATCTGTGCGAACCTCTGTTTACTTTAATAAATTGATTCCCACGTCATCGTACTGAAACGTAGTCTTTGTTGTAATGCAATTTCGGATCTTTTAATACATGCCAACCATATTATAAATACAATCATAAATTTTAATAAACAATTCATATACATTTTAAATGATTGTGATTTCCTGATAACACATAATTACTGTAGGAAAATTGAGAATAATAATAAAATGGACGCTTATTCTGATTGACAACGTTCCTATTAGTAATTTTTTTTTAATTTTCATTCTTTTCAAACTCTTTTACGGTATAATCTCACATTTAACCTTATTAATTTTACGACTTTCCGCGTTCCGTTCTTACACACATACACTTACAATTTACGAGCTCACGGAAATCGTTTTATTTCTAAAATCAATAAACCGCGACATTAAACAGTCGAAGGGTTTTATCCCTTGTACAAATTATGAAAACCGCCAAAGACGTTTCTTTTTATAATACTAAAATGAAACTGCTAAACTAATGTATACTATCCGAATGTCATGACATGTCGGTGTTTAAATAAGTTTTGAAAAGAATCAATTGAAAACAGCGGCTTGGCTGTGCTCTTGGTCTAGTCCATCAACAACGGTAAGGATATATCGTCAACCGTTTCCTTTTTTCCTACCTAAGCTGATAGCCTTGAGAGGCTATTTCAGCTTCACCCTATCGTGTAGGTGAGCTCACGGGGCTCAAACCGGAGTGCTAACACTGGCCCTAGCAAGAGCAGTGCTTCGTAGAATCTACCATCGGATCGGAAACGCGACGAGATACTCAGTGGGCTGTGTCTGTCTGTGGGTTAATTCCAGTTAATTCGCTCGTAAAGCCCTTCGTCGCAAGCGACAGGTTCGGCGAGAACGGTGACCGGTGCCTGTAGTACATAAAAGCACCTTTAATGGATCGGGACATCAACCGTGCCGTAAGCTCATCTACATTCTAAACATTAAAAACAACTAGAATACGGTATTCACAATCTTAAGTAATGTGATAAACCGTAATTTTATTATTATCACAGCACCAAACACAATTTAATATACATTCAGAAATATAAATACATTTTTCATCAATCGTCATTATGCTGAGCTCAACCAAAAAGTATCGATCCTAGGAAACGCTACGGTAAACCTTCGAATTATTTTAGACCAAAAAAAATGTATCGATTATTATTAATTAAGCAAAATTAGCTTCCGTGACGCGATGCGAGAGTCGTACGAAGGTTTAATAAGTCAAGCGGAAATTTTATTATGATTTAGCTAACTTTCAAATAATATTTAAAATACGTTAAATAAAATATTTCATATTATATATTATTTAACCGACTTAACCTAATAGGTCTATGGCTCTAATCTACGAATAAATAATAAGTATTCTTAGGCTCCAATAAAGAATAAAAAAGATTATATATTATTTTATTCAAAACATTACAAATTGTTTAAGATAGATTTTCATTATGTTTATAAATATCTAAAAAAAAACACAATTTCTTTTCACTTTACGCAAAAAGTGTCGATGACACGCCTAATTTAGGACGATTACAGAAAACCATGCGCATCAAAATGGGATTATCGCCGCGTCCCTTCAGACATTGTTATCGATTATAATTGAAGACATCTCAATTTCACTCGAACAACAGATACACCACTCTGCAAATCGAAAGCGAAGTTTGCTTCTTGGCAGAAATAGGTTGCCTACCTCCGTAGTATTTAGCCGGCTACATTTGATTTTCATACGTATGATAGAATTCTTCATAAGTAGCGAAGATTCCTTTACCTATCTAAACTTCAATAATTTGATTTAGCTTTTAATAACAAATGGATGTTTAATTAGAAAATAAATCTAAATATAATGAATCTTTCTTAATATTAAATGCCACTGCTTACACAAATTTGTATTATATGTTTAGAATTTTGATGAAAGCGCTTCTGTAAATTACATATCTATAAATAAATCTCCATCCGCAGTTGCAGTGGCATGGGCTGAGCTATTTTTGGAACGTTTTCTCGTACGATTACTTGCTAGTGAAACTTTCTTATGATCATTAGTAAAAATGGGAGAGAATACATTAATTTTACGTTCAACTTCGTGACGCGTTTCAACCTCTTTGTTTTCCCTACCTAAGCTGATAGCCTTGGGAGGCTATGTCAGCGTAACCTTACAAGTAGGTGAGCTCCCGGGGCTCAAACCTGACGACGTTGCTAACACTAACCCTAGCAAGAGCAGTGCTTCGCAGAATCTAACCCCGGATCGGAAACACGACCCGCTGAGAAGATCCGGCGAGAAACTCAGTGGGCTATCAACCTCAACAACGCGCATTGACACTAACTTCTGAATTTACATTTTGAAGTAAGACTTGTCGAAATCCGATTCGCAGTTTGAGGTCAATAAAGCACTTATTCTGGCGCTACAGCTTGAACTTGAGGAATTTCTATAAGTAATTAATATCAAACTCTATTTTAATTGAGTACTCCAGTGTCATCATTGTCAGCTGGATATAAACTTTTCAAACGACTGAGACAAAGTAGTATACCCCCAAACAATAGTACTACTAAGGAGAAATCCTTTAATTTTCAGTATTATATAAAGTACATGTCGTACTAATATTAATGTCCCCTTGGGTCACAATCATTTCTTAGCAGAATAAACATTTATTCCCACATAAATAAAAATGAGACATCTGTTCAAATTACCTTGATTTCCCGTGAGATTTAATGCTGTACTCGTCATATATCAATGTAATATGAAATGACATTAACAGCCTGGCCACGGGACATTCGCCGATGCGAATATTCGCGCGGTGCGAACGGCGAAGCGTCTAGCGACTAAAACAAGCGCATAGAAATGTACCTAACAAGCCACGCGCACCGGCGACCGGCGAAGCGACCGGCGAAATGTACCGAGCGAATCGCGCGATGCGGCGGGCGAGCAAAACAAATGCATGAATACGGACGGCGCGAGCCACGGAGTCGAGCGGTAGTCGCGGCGAATAGTGCAGTGATTAAATGAGTTTAGTTGTTTTCGCCGCGAAAAATTAACGCCGAAATTTTTATATTTTTTATTTATTTTTTATTTTATATTTTTAAAGTCGTCGTGGCCTAACGGACGTCCGGTGCAATCGTGTTGAGCGATGCACCGGTGTTCGAATATCAGGCGGGTACCAATTTTTGTAATGAAATACGTACTCAACAACACTCAACGTTCACGATTGATTTCCACGGTGAAGGAATAACATCGTGTGATAAAAATGAAATCTTCAAAATAATAATTTGCGTAATTACTGGTGGTAGGACCTCTTGTGAGTCTACACGGGTGGGTACTACCACCCTGCCTATTTCTGCCGTGAAGTAGTAATGCGTTTCGGTTTGAAGGGTGAGGCAGCCATTATAACTATACTTGAGACCTTAGAACTTATATCTCAAGGTGGGTGGCGCATTTACGTTGTGGATGTCTATGGGCTCCAGTAACCACTTAACACAAGGTGGGCTGTGAGCTCGTCCACCCATCTAAGCAATAAAAAAATAAAATAGCTGAAATACTAGCTAGACCAGCTATTTGGAAGTCTAGCCACCCAAAGTATTTCTCGTACTTCTTGTGGAATTCTCCATCTATAGGTATACTCCGATTCTTATTCAAATCATGTACTTCACAATCTTTTCCAAATAATAGGTCCTGAACCAAAAAACTATTAATTTGTAAGCAATATCGAGATAATTTCGATATAGACATTTCGCTGTCGGACTTCCTTACTAGTCGCGGCGGCGAACGTGAGTACCCGTGGCCTGCAAACGGTGCTGCGCGAATGGTCGCCTCGCCCACCGCTTCGCTGTTCGCACCGCCGATCCCCGTGGCCAGGCCGTAAAACCTTTGGCTAGTATGAATAATAATATATTCGGAATACAGTATTCCTGATTTGTAATTCCAGTGGAAGTACAGATCATATATCACATACAATTAGGCATATTTATTTTCAACTATATGACTCTGCAGGAACTGCAATTAGAAACCATTCGTCATCCTTCATATTCGCCAGACCTTGCTCCAACGGACTACCATTTTTTTCGTGATTTGGACAATTTTCTAAATGCTTTCACACAGTTTGTAGAATCTAGAT